GGCGCAGTTGGTTAAGCGTCCGACTTCAGCCAGGTCACTATCTTGCGGTCCGTGAGTTCGAGCCCCACGTCGGGGTCTTGGCTGATGGCTCAGAGCCTGGAGCCTGTTTCCGATTCTGTGTCTCCCTCTCTCTCTGCCCCTCACCCGTTCATGCTCTGTCTCTCTCCGAAAAATAAACAAACGTTGAAAAAAAATTTTTTTTAATAAAAAAATAAAAAAAAAAAGAAAAAAGGAAGGACCCAAATAAATAAAATCATGAATGAAAGAGGAGAGATCACAACCAATACTCCTGAAATGCAAACAATATTAAGAGAATATCAGGAGAAATTATATGCCAACAAATTGGGCAACCTGGAAGAAATGGACAGATTCCTAGAAACATATAAACTACCTTAAGTGAAACAGGAAGAAACAGAAAATTTGAACAGACCCATAACCAGTAAAGAAATTGAATCAGTAATCGAAAATCTCCCAACAAACAGGAGTCCAGGGCCGGATGGCTTTCCAGGGGAATTCTACCACACATTTAAGGAAGAGTTAACACCTATCCTTTTGGAACTGTTTCCAAAAATAGAAATGTAAGGAAAACTCCCAAAATCATTTATGAGGCCAGCATTACCTTGATTCCAAAACCAGACAAAGACCCCACTAAAAAGGAGAACTCCAGACCAATTTCCCTGAGAAACATGGATGCAAACAAGCATCTCAACAAGATACTAGCCAACCGAATCCAAAGATAATTATAAGAATTATTCACCATGGTCAAGTGGGATTTATTACTGGGATTCAGGGCTGGTTCAATATCCACAAATCAATGTGCTACATCACAATAATAAAAGGATAAGAACCACATGATCCCCTCAATAGATGGAGAAAAAAAACCCCAACATTTGACAAAATACAGCACCCTTTCTTGATAAAAACCCCCAAGAAAGTAGGGATAGAAGGATCATACTTCAAAGTCACAAAGGTCATATAGAAAAGACCCCCCACTTATATTATCCTTAATGGGAAAGAACTGAGAGCTTTCCCCTAAGTTCAAGAACATGACAGGGATGTCCACTCTCACCACTGTTATTCAACATAGTGGTGCAAATCCTAGCCTCAGCAATTAGACAACACAAAGAAATAAAATGCATCCAAATTAGCAAGGAGGAAGTCAAACTTTCACTCTTCGCAGATGCAGATGACATGATACTCTATGTGGAAACCCAAAGGATTACACCAAAAAAAAAAAAAAATGCTAGAACTGATACATGAATTCAGCAAAGTCACAGAATATAAAATCAATGTACAAAAATCAGCTGTATTTCCAAACACCAATAATGAAGCATCAGAAAGAGAAATCAAGGAATTGATCCCATTTACAATTGCACCCAAACCCATAAAATACCTAGTAATAAACCTAACTAAAGAGGTGAAAAATCTATACACTGAAAACTATAGAAAGTTTATGAAAGAAATTGAAGAAGACACACACACACACACACACACACACAGGAAAAACATTTCATGCTCATAGACTGGAAGAACAAATATTGTTAAAATGTCGATACTACCCAAAGCAATCTACATATTCAATGCAATCACTATCAAAATAACACCAGCATTCTTCACAGAGCTTGAACAAACAATCCTAAATTTGTATGGAACCAGAAAAGACCCTGAATAGCCAAAGCAATCCTGAAAATGAAAAGCAAAGCTGGAGACATCATAATTCTGGACTTCAAGCTGTGTGACAAAGCTTTAATCATCAAGACAGTATGGTACTGGCACAAAAACAGACACATAGATCAATGGAACAGAATAGAGAACCCAAAAATGGACCCACAAACATATGGTCAACTAATCTTTGACAAAGCAGGAAGGAATAACCAATGAAAAATAGTCTCTTCAGCAAATGGTGTTGGAAAACTGGACAGTGGCACACAGAACGAACCTGGGCCACTTTCTTCCACCACACACAAAAATAAACTCAAAATGGATGATAGACCTAAATGTAAGACAGGGAGTCATCAAAACCCTAGAGGAGAAAACAGGCAACAACCTCTTTGACCTCAGCCATAGCAACTTCTTACTCGACATGTCTCCGGAGGCAAGGGGAGCAAAAACAAAAGTGAGCTATTGGAACCTCATCAAGACAAAAAGCTTCTGCGTGGGGAAGGAAACAATCAGAAAACTAAAATGCAACTGATGGAATGGGAGAAGATGTTTGCAAATGACATATCAGAGAAAGGGTTAGTATCCCTATAAAGAGCTTATCAAACTCAACACCCAGAAAACAAAGAATCTAGTGAAGAAATGGGCAAAAGACATGAATAGACAATTTTCCAAAGAAGACATCCAGATGGCTAACAGACACATGAAAAAATGCTCAACATCACTCATCATCAGGGAAATACAGGGAAATACAAACCAAAACCACAATGAGATACTACCTCACACCTGTCAGAATGGCTAAAATTAACAACTCAGGCAACAACAGATGTTGGTGAGGATGCAGAGGAAGGGGATCTCTTTTGCATTGCTGGTGGGAATGCAAAGTGGTGCAGCCACTTTGGAGAACAGATGGAGGTTCCTCAAAAACTTAAAAATGGAACTACCCTCCAACCCAGCATTTGCACTACTAGGTATATATCCAAAGGATACAGGAGTGCTGATTCGAAGGGACACATGCACCCCAATGTTTATAGCAGTGCTAGTGACAATAGCCAAAGTATGGAATGAGCCCAAATGTTCACCGACTGACAAATGGATAAAGAAGATGTGGTGTATATATATATATATAGAGAGAGAGAGAGAGAGAGAGAGAGAGAGAGACATATGTGTCTATATATATATATAATGGAATATTACTCAGTGATCAAAAAGAATGAAATTTCGCCATTTGCACCAACGTGGACGGAACTAAAGTGTATTATGCTAAGCAAAATAAGTCGCACAGAGAAAGACAAACATCATATGATTTCACTCACATGTGTAATTTACGATACAAACGGATGAACATAAAGGAAGGGAAGCAAAAATAATATTAAAACAGGGAGGGAGACAAACCATAAGAGACTCTTAAATACAGAAAACAAACTGAGGGTTGATGGTGGGATGTTGGGTGGGGGGAAAGGCTAAGTGGGGAAGGGGGATTAAGGAGGACACTTGTTGGGATGAGCACTGGGGGTTATATGTAAGTGAGGAATCACTAAATTTTACTCATGAAATCATTAGTACACTGTATATTAACTAACTTGGATTTAAATTAAAAAGAAATAATAATAAACGTAAAGTTTATTTATTTTGAGAGAAAGAGTGCATGAGTGGGGGGGTGGCAGAGAGAGGGAGAGCATCCCAAGCAGGCTCCTGTGCTGTCAGCGCCACACCCCAAGCGGGGCTTGATCCCAGGAACAGAACAGTGAGACCATGACCTGAGCCAAATCAAGAGTCAGATACTCCATGGACTGAGCTACCCAGGCATCCCATGGAATTCTTCAAGAAACATTCCCTATCCACATTCCGTACCCCTAAATAGATATCTAATCCATAGGTTCTTAGCCTCATTCCCAAATAATTGCATGGATGACAAAGAAAGATGCTAATCCATAGAAAATGAGGGAAATGAGAATTACTAAGTAGTTCTTCGGCTGTGAATAAGTCTTATAGAGTATTTTCTTCAAGCCTCCCTGAAGAAGCGATTATCTCAATTCTACAGATGCAAAATTAAGACCTAGAGAAAGGAAAGCCACTTTCGCAAAGACATTCTGGGAACATATGATAGCACCCAAGTTGAAGCCCATCTGACTCCAAAGCTTGGACTTACCATCCCCCTACCCCAACCACTGGATTACTGGCTTATCCCTGATCACCACCAAGTCAGAACCATGCACTGCCCTCCCAGATCTCCCCGTTGTACAACTGGAACCCTCCCTCTCAAAGCCACATCAAAGCCTCAGTTACGCAGCCCTAGACCTCCAAGCCCAGGCCAATCCACCCTTCAGTCCTGGCAGGATTCAGGAAGGAGGGAGGAGGGTGGAGAGGAGGAGCTTGGAACAGAGCAACAAGGGTAAGAGGAGAGTGAAGTGTCCATACTCCAGATGCCATTACGGCTGCAACATTACTCTGAAGCGCCCAGTGAAATCACCAGGCGGTGTAGGCGGCAATGGCACTGTTTGCCTATTCTATGCCTAACGTGCAGTAAATAAGCGTTCAGAATTTAATCCGAATCCTACAAAGAGGTCCAAGGCCGTAGATTTAGAATGTGTTACCTTTAAAAAGTCACAAAGGAAGTCTTTCATTGAACTAAATTAAATTCCAGGGAGCCATGGTGGGCGGGAAGGCCCAAGTGCAGGGCTCGGTTATGTAAAAAGTCTAAATAATCATGCTTTTATTAGTAATCCTTGACTTCTGGAATGCGCAATGGAAGTGCAAAGCATTTCCAGTGAATGAGGTCCAGAAAATGTAGGCGGACTGGTGGAGGGACTTACAGAACAACAGGCCAGGCCAGCGACCAAAGAATTTCACGAGTTTAAGGCCCCAAACCCGGGCCGGTCCCGTGCAGCCCAGGACCCCTCACCCGGCCTGGGGAAGGCGCAGAGCCGCAAAGGAGCAGAAGGGAGGACGACAGGATTCGTTCGTCCCGCTCGTCCGAGTGCCGCCAGGAGTCCAACTCTGAAACCCCCCAGCGGCGGCGAGGGCCGCGCGGACCTCGGGAACAGCCCCCACCCCGGGGCTCCCCGGAACCAGCGGGGCCGGGCCGCGCGGGGCGGGAGCTGGAAGTTTCGCGCGGCCGCGCGGCCACCACCGCGCAGGGCCGAGCCGTCTCCTCCCCGCCGCCCGGCTCGGGAAAGCCCAACCCGAGAGGCAGAGTCAGGGTCGCCGCGGGGTTTCCGGGGCCCCCGGAGTCCGGGGAGAGCCCCCCGCGCGCCCTGGCCTCTGCTCGCCCACCCTCTGCTCACGGGCTCGGCGCGGCCGGCCGGGGAAGGAACCGGGAGGGGGAGTTAGGCGCGTACCTCCGAGCGCCCCGCGCGCCCCGCAGAGCCCCAGGCAGGCGGCGAGCAGGAAGAGGCGGCGGGCCCCGAGCCGCCCCATCCCGCCGCGGCGGCCC